TTCTTCAAGAAAATATGAGTCAAAATTCCACCACAGTGTGGAAAAATACTCATTGCCACTTATCGCAAAGGCTTTATTGCAGATACAGTACCTTTTTCATGCCACTGTATTTGCCATGGCAATGAGGTACTTTGAGTTCATTCTTAATGGACAGGGAGAAAATGAGAGAAAAGGTGGGAAGAGAGAGAGATGGGGAAAGAGAAAGAAAGAAGGAAAGAGAGAGCAAGAGAGAGAGAGAGATAGATGAGACATATGAAACTTCAGGCAGCACCAAACAGTGGTACAGAGTTCAGTGCCGACAATTTCATTATTAAAGTGGCACCGACATGAATTTTAAACCCATAAAAGACACTACTTTTTATGTTTCTGGATATTTTTCCTGTCATTTGGTACCAAATACACAAAAATCCGTTCAGCGGGTTGGTTATGATAAGCTTTTTTTATTCCGTGTATTTTGCCACCCGTGGATCGGTTTCATATTGCCCGAGGCCAAGTTCCACTTTGTACTCGCTGGCATGCGTGACATCACATCAGTATGCATGTGCGTGTGTGTCCAGAATGTCAATCACATAGCTAACTTTAACCTTGCCGTTTAAAATTAGCGGCCCTACGCCTATAATAGGATCCACAAAGCCAGTTAGACTTTCAGTAAATTGTGGGGTTCTTGGCCAATTAACACAATATCACAACATCAACAATTAACATTATTGCTAGACATAAGAGTAGTAGCATGCTGGCTACCTGGGGGTCTTACTGTGATCTGTGGCTAGCTGGCGAGTCTCTGCTGCTTTCACATGAACAAGGATAAAAGGATGTCTTGTACAGTAAATCACGACAACATACTTTAATGCATTTGGTCTCTAGATATCACGTCTCTGAAGCTTATAATGAATTGTTCAGTAAACATCAGTAAGTTGTGGTTGGGGACGTCTAGTGGATAATGCATTTGTAGGCGAATAGCTGCGTGGACCACAGCTAACCTAACAGTAACCTTGGTCACCCTATAATTGCTGCATAGTGTAAGTAAATCAGTGTTTTTTTAACTTATCGCTTAAACTGACATGGTTGGAACCATTTATCGGTATTGTACATGGCTAATTGCCTTTGCTGCAAAATAATTGATTGTATTAGTAGGGTAGAATTCTGTGTCCAACTTCCACTTCTTCTGGCTTTTTTTATTTGCCAGAACGATTTTAAAAGGGGCGCCAATGTATTTTGGGGGGTTTTATCAGTGAGAAGGGGGTTTAGAATTTAATATTAATATTCAATATCTCCAATGCATTTACTGCGCATGCCCTCGCAACCCGGTGTGTCATCAGCATAGACTGTATAAAAAGATGGACGCAGCGATGTCCGAAGTTATTGCCGTAAAAACACAGTCTGCTTCGTGAACATAGACTGTTTGTGACAGGCTCCTATTTGAGGCATTGAGCTGATAAGCATATGCTCATCACTGGAATACATTGAGGAGGCGTTACCAGTTATGGATGCATGTGTCCAGTGACAAATGGTTTTATTTAGCTAGCTTGTATCAACATCAATCGCTAACCTTCTATGCTGATGGATTAGATTGGATGTGCTCTTCCACTCAAATCAGAAGTCCCATATGTACATGATTATTCACGTAGCATATATGAAATCGGTGACTGGCTGGTCCGGGTACAAGATGATTTATTTCCATTAGAGTACGATAAAGATGAGAAAAGCTGCGGTTGTAAGATTTACAGTCTATTTTCTTTGGTGTTCAGATAATTAGCCACCGGTCAGTTGAATAGTATTTTGTCAATTGCAGCAGATGTTCAAAATTCTGGTTCAGAAACTAACTGGTAACGTCTAACCAATGTATTCCAGTGAAAAGCATATGCTTATTAGCTCAATGCCCAACTCGGACCCTGTCACGAACAGTCTACGGTCACTAAGCAGACTGTGTTTTTGGGCTGATAATGTCGAACATCGCCCTCACTTTCTGATATCACAGAAGTTGCTCTCTGATCTGCAGTATTAGTCACCGAAGCCAAAGACCTAAAGAATTTGTGCAATTTTACACTCTGATCAGTCGTGTTGGGGCAAACAAAAGCGACACCGATTATTCCCTCCCTTTTTTTTACCAGTAGAAGCCGATCTGGGTGCGGTTATTTCAGCAGAAGATACCGTGCAAGACGGAGTGTTTACATTTCCCCCCATTGCTACTCCAGCAAACTCAAACGAGAACCCACAAGATCAACAGCCACCGCGCACACGGAAATACACTGATGTGACGTCAGATGACTGCTCTCTGCCAGGTGGCAAAAGCCGCGAGTTTTCGAGTGATGGAAATTTTGCGTGGGAAGTTTAAACAGTGATAAATCTATTAATATGTACAGTACATCAAAATATTAATGTGCACGAGTGTACTTATGTTTCAGAGATTACACTTATCACTGATGGGTTGACAGGTGTCACAGCTACTTCAATCAATACTGCAGGCACAGAAAGGGCCTTGAATTATGCCTAATTTCCTTTGAAAATATGAAACATATATAATTTACCACATGAGGAGGAAAAGTAAAGTGTCCCAGCACTGACCTGTTACTGAAGACTTTGCTGCTGTTGTAGACGCTGATGGACAGCATTTCATCCTTGATGACCTTCCCATAGTGAGGCCATCGGAATTGCTGTGGACACATGACAGAAGTTACATCACAGTCATGCAGCGCTCACTGTTACACAGCTATTTACATCACAGTCATGTAGCGCTCACTGCTACACAGCTATTTACGTCACAGTCATGTAGCGCTCACTGTTACACAGCTATTTACGTCACAGTCATGTAGCGTTCAATGCTGCACAGCTTCTTACATCACAGTCATGTAGCACTCACCATAACACAGCTATTTACGTCAAGGTCATGTAGCGCTCACTGCTGCACAGCTACTTACCTCACAGTCATGTAGTGCTCATTGTTACACAGCTATTTATGCTGCAGTCATGTAGCGCTCTCTATTACACAGCTACTTATGTCACAGTAATGTAGGGCTCACCGATACACAGCTACTTACATCACAGTCATGTAGCACTCACTGCTGCACAGCTTCTTATGTCACAGTCATGTAGCACTCACTGTAAAACAGCTTTTTACGTCACAGTCATGCAGCGCTAACTGTTACACAGCTTTTTACGTCACAGTCATGTAGCACTCACCGTAACACAGCTTTTTACGTCACAGTCATGCAGCACTCACTGTTACACAGCGATTTACGTCACAGTCATGTGGTGCTCACTTCAGCACAGCTACTTACGTCACAGTCATGTAGCACTCACTTCAGCACAGCTACTTACGTCACAGTCATATAGCGCTCACTACTACACAGCTATTTACGTCACAGTTATGTAGTGCTCACCGTTACACTGCTCTTTATATCACAGTTATGTAGCACTCACCGTAACACAGCTATTCATGTCACAGTCATGTAGCGCTCACCGTAACACAGCTATTTACATCACAGTCATGCAGCGCCCACTGTTACACAACTATTTACATCACAGTTGTGTGGCACTCACTGTTACACAGCTATTTACGTCACAGTCATGTGGTGCTCACTGCTGCATAGCTACTTACGTCACAGTCATGTAGCACTCACTTCTGCACAGCTACTTACGTCACAGTCATGTAGCGCTCACTGCTACACAGCTATTTACATCACAGTCATGTAGCGCTCACTGCTACACAGCTATTTACGTCACAGTCATGTAGCACTCACTGCTACACAGCTATTTACATCACAGTCATGTAGCGCTCACTGCTACACAGCTATTTACATCACAGTCATGTAGCTCTCACTGCTACGCAGCTATTTACGTCACAGTCATGTAGCCCTCACTGCTACGCAGCTATTTACATCACAGTCATGTAGCCCTCACTGCTACGCAGCTATTTACGTCACAGTCATGTAGCGCTCACAGCTACGCAGCTATTTATGTCACAGTCATGTAGCGCTCACTGCTATGCAGCTATTTACGTCACAGTCATGTAGCGCTCACCGCTGCACAGCTTCTTGCATCACAGTCATGTAGCACTCACTGTTTCACAGCTATTTACATCGCAGTCATGTAGTGCTCACTGCTGCTCAGCTTCTTGCATCACAGTCATGTAGGGCTCTCCATTACACAGCTACTTACCACACAATCATGTAGCGCTCATTGTTACACAGCTCTTTAAAGATTCCATGTTATGCTCGCTCCCCTCCAGGTTAATAGGTGATTGGATGCCCAAAAGGGAGGTTTAAAACCTTTTTGGCAAAAAGTAACCTTTTCTTCTATTTTTTTAATATATAAAACAAGCCATTGGCTGCACTTTGCGATGGCAATTTTGGGGCACTGTGGATATATATGCCAGTCAGGTACAACATTCTTGGCATCTCCAATCCCACCCAAATCTGGAATGCCCAATTGGGGAACTATGTACAAGGCTTGCTCATATACGACCCCTTATTGCCAACTCAGGAGAGTGAAGACAGTTCGTGGCTCTCCTCCAAAGCACGCGCCTGTCAGCCACTGCTTCTTATACGCTCATTGGTTTAATCCTCACAAGTTCAGAACGAGGGCGGAAGATACCCGAACATGAACAAGCTTAGAATCCTCCGGTCGGGCGCCCGGCTGCACAAAGGCCAATTGTGCGCTACGTATACGTTAGCGCCCTCCTCAAGGGTGATATGGATTTCAACGCTCGAGCGATAGCCAGAGCGTTGAATCCATATCACCCTTGAGGGAGGGGGCTCACCTACTTACACCACGTGGACTCCGAATGGACTCGTCCATGGCGTGTTGCACGTGCTTTCACTGCACTGCCAAAACCCTAGGTTAGACCGTCCAGTTGTCAAATAACATGCCTGGTTGATATTCACATATCAACCTCTGCACGTGCAGAGAGAAGGTTGCTACAAAGAAAATCAACCTGCCAGGACAATGGACATAACATACCCTAGTGGTGTAATCTGAAAAAGCAGCCGACCACTGCCGGTTGGTACGACCAGGGCTCGAACCCACGCTGTGATAGACACATCTGCTTTGCAATGCGGTGCTTTAACCGAATGAGCTATCCCACCAAACCCACCGAAAGCAGAGGGACTGATTTCAGATTAGTTTCCCCAGCCAACCCCTGTACGTCATCCACCATGAGTGTCAAAAACAAAACTTATCCTTGATGAGCATGTGCACTCAAACAAGCTTCATGGATAGAGGTCATAGTTGATCAATCGAGGTAACTCTACAGGTATAGCAGGGTATCGGACGCGATGAAGGAACACCTGTCCCAGTTTGGTGCCAGCGAACACAGCCTGATGAGCTGACTGGCTTGCTTGGACACACGGACCAGCCATTCAAAATGGTCTATTCAAAATAAATCACACATCCATTAAAATCAGCTCACTGCCGTTTACTGGCCACTTTATTTCCTGATGATTAAAGGTGACATAGAATCAAAACCAGTTTTTACCTTGTCTATGTTGAATAACGGTAGTCTACCCGCATTCAAGAACATACGAAAAGTGCGAGACATTCTGAACATCCCCGTTCATAGAAATTCCTCTTTTAAAAGTGACCGCCAGAAAACAGGCCAATCTGAACAACGCATACATATGATGTCATATGTATCTCACTGCCCCCCCCCCCCCCCCACTACTCTCATTCCGTTTCCTGCCCTTCAAAATAATTTGCATACACCCGCTCTCCCGCCCCCTACGGAAAGTAATTGCAGCAGTGTTTGTGAAGTTCAAGGCGAAATGACAAGTCGCCTACCGAGGTGTGCTCTTCCAGGCTGTGGAAGCAGTGTGCAAACGTTCCATAACCTTCCGACCGAAAGAAATGCACGAGATGCGTGGCTGCTGTTCATTTTTAATCGGATTCCCACTACATTCAACCACAGACTGTTACTTTGCTCAGCCCATTTCACCTCTGACAGTTTTACTAACCTGGCACAATTTCAAGCCGGCTTCTCGCACCATTTGGTGCTATGTAGTGGAGCAGTTCCGACTTCGCGTCTACCTCAACAACCAGTACAAACTGTAAGTATCACGTTATTGTTAGATTGTTTTTAAAACGTTCTAAATAGAATATATTCGTTTTGCTTGTCTTGCCCAGTGTTTCCCAAACTTTTTTCTCTCGCGGCACACCGTTTACTATGAAAAAAATTTCACGCCACACCGCTATGATATTATAGCGTTCTGCTCACGCTACCTACCCCGCAGCGCGACCGAGTGACAAGACAACCACTCGAGCTTTCCAACCAGGTTTCAGGCTTTCATGCAATCATAAAATAAATGACTCTACGCAGTCTTTCCAGTTCAGCCCCCACTTCTCCAGATACTCAGATGTCACTCGAAACACTTCCTCACCTGTAGTTTTCTCCGGAAAAATTCGATAAAAAAGTAATTTTCTGTAATTGTCTCCCCATCGACATATCTGACATTGGTCAGTAATTGTGCATGTCCACTGATATCGGTTGTTTCATCCACCTGCAGCGCAAATTTCCCACTCCCTTTTATTTTCTCCATTACAACGTCCTCTATATCTGCCGACATTTCTCCTATTCGTCTGCCAATTGTAGCTATTGTTTGAGGGGGGAACCTTGGATATTTCATTGACAGCATTTTGACCCAACATGATCCCGACGATAGCTTTGCATGCTGGCAGGATAAGAGATTCGGGTCTTTGATTTTGCTACTAGTTCTGCGACCAGATTGCTAGCTTCTAATGCTTTTTCTGACACTGTAGCGGTTTTCTTCGTGAAACTAGCTTGTTTGTTGGTCTGGCTTCTCAACCGCATTAAATATTCACGGTCTTTTTTTTTTTTTGGGAGAGAAGGGTGTTTGGTTGAAAGCCGTCTTTTTAATTTATTTGACACCATAGCTTCGTTCGCCAGCTTTTCGCCGCAAGCAAGACACAGTGGTATTGGGGTAACAGGATCGCCGGTGAATGTAAACCCGTAAGTCAGATATTCCTCACTGTAAAGTCTGCTCATCATTTAGAATTTCTTTTTCTGGCCAGCGCAGCAAGAGTGAGGTGGTTCAGGGTCTTAGTCGGACGGCCTTTTCGAGGTTTTGGCCAGGAATTTATCCATTTTCGTTCTTTCGTTTCAACTAGCCTACACTGCTGTTTTAGCTGAGTTTTACCGGGAATGTTTAATTTTTCGCGTTAGACGATGTGTCATTGGCCAATCACATGAAGGAATTGTACAGTAGAATACATGATGCGGAAATATCGAGAAGGAATTTTAAATAGGCATTATAATAAACTGAATTGAATGAATTGATAATGACATGAATTGTTATTTTTATATCCTGTAAGTTCAGCCGTTTTATATTATTAGGCTATCAGGAAAAAAACAGTAAGTGGGGTTTCTCGCGGCACACCTAGGAAGCTCTCACGGCACACAGTTTGGGAAATACTGGTCCAGCCAATGTCATATGACGTGATTATCACTCAACAACAGCTTTGAAACGCGATCTGAAATAAATCCGTGAAGATTTTTGTTGCCAATGATCTTGCCATGCTCACATTAAGACGGTGGGAGGTCGGCATCTGCGCCTTTAGTTTGTGAAGATGTTTCGCCCAGTGCGTCAACACCAAAACATGTGGGTCTAGCGCATTTTTTAGGATTATTCGCCGTAGTCCGCAATTATTCAATGAATGCTTATTAATGAGATTCTCACGCGGAATTAAAATCCTTGTGCCTTGAAGTTTCAGTTTCACTTGCGTGAAGGTGAATTTCACCACAAGTAACGTGGAAAGCGATTGACTTGCTTCACTTTAGGCCGCAAAGCCAGCCAATCAGCGTCAAGTGCTTGCATTTCATAATGAGGTTGCCAGTTAAGCCCGAAAGGTCGCCAAATAGGTGAAAAATAACGCGTTCAAAATCCCCCACCAACATAGCTTTTAGAGAGAGGTTTTTAGGAAGCTTCTGAAGCATTACAGACCGAACCAAAATTTTGTGGTGTATATGTCACTTCACTGAACAAGGATAAATACCCCGTTCAACCATTCTAGGTCACCTTTAAATGGTCTAAGATGAGTGCTGGCTGCTGCTGTCCTGATCCGGTCCTGATCCAGTTCAGCACCATCCTCGACACTCCACTTCCTGGAGCTACAGAGGCCATTGTTTAGATGGACTTTAATTGAACTCTATTACCATTTTATTCTATTATTACTTTATTTTATTATTAATTAGCTAGCCAGCGGAGGATGGGCTTCCCCGCTATAGCCGGGTTCCTCCGAAATTTTTTCCCACTGGGGAGTTTTTTCTCACCACTGTTTGAGGATTTTTCTCCCTACTGGGAGTTTTTTTTTTTTTTTCATTTGCTATTGTGGGGATTAGGCTGGGCACTGCCCTTTCATTTATTTAATCTCTCACTGTAAAGCGTCTTTGTGACAGTCTATCTATGAAAAGCGCTATACAAACAAATTGAATTGAATTGAATTGAATTGAATTAACAGTCAGGAGTAAGGGTTGAAGACTCCTCTCATTAAACTGGCAGAGGAAGGGACGAGAGCGGGCTGTGTAAACGAGTGTTTGTTGTAAGGGAAGTGTCCCTCTTTGGCTCAGTTAGTACCAGGAACACTTAGTGACTCAGAGACTGGGTGGGACGGACGGTTAAGGTAAGGAATACACCTCGCCTCTCATTAAAACTCTCCGTAAATGAGCAGGAGTGCGTTTTGAGTATCGAGTGCAGTGCTTCTAGAGATCGGTATCAGTACATAAGTACAGGGATGTGTTTGGCTTCCATTTTGCATGTCATTGGTTTTTACTCAGGAATAGTGGTAGGGATGGGCGTTTTGAGGTTCTCTAAAAGGTGGCAATGCTCATCTTGTTTAACGCTGCCGACCGCTACTTTACTATTCGTATTGTGTTGACCCAACTTGTCAGACCTGCATTTCATTGCTTTGAAGGAGGTTCATCATGGAAATTTTTCTGATATATATGAGTACATAAATTGCTGCAGAAGAGAACTTTACCATGCTAAAAATTTCCTCCTTGTGAGCATCCCATTCAAAGGGGATGACTTCAAAAACAGAAATAGTGTATGATGTTTGTCCAATTATCAAGGGCAATTTAGCTCAGTCATTAGCGACCGTGAAGAGTAGCCTCACGTTGAAGTATGACTGAAAGTTTGACAATTTGCTGAAATGGAAAAATCAAGCATCAGAAAGTAAAGTCCAGTCATGCATTTCAACCCAATCAGCTAATCTCACAGGTGTGTTCAACCTCTCTGATGGGGACGGAATCCTGGAGACAACTTCGTGAACATGGATTTTCCACCTCTTACAACAGTAGTTTGTTTGGTCAAGCGGGAGCGTTGATGCAGGCAAATGGGCGCATTCATTTCTAATTCCTCAGCAGAGCTGAAAGCTCCTATCAGGCCATAAAAAGGAGTGTCGTTTTTCCCTCAATGTAAAATCTGACTCAGCCCAGCCGCACCTCCCCATGACTGCAAGCTTTCCTTGACATCACTTCGATCGTAAGAGCCTGCCTCTTGCACTGTAGACCAGGAACATGGTTTCCTCCTAACCCCAGGCTAACTAAAATGAAATGAAATGAGCATAAATGCAAGCAGCAGCACAAGCTGCAGAGTAGATTAATGAGGCCAGTGGTCAGTTCAGACCAGGGTAGAAGATTGCGAAGAGTTGTATATATTCAGTAACTGTGATGTATCATTATATTGAGCACTTAATTGATCCACTGACAGCATTCCCTATAACTCAATGCCACACTAGTCATCGCCTGCACCACAGACTTGCTTACCTCATTAAAGATGGCCAAATTTGAGCAGCGCAGAATCCTGGATTTGTGCGTGAAACCTGGAGTAAGAGTGATGAGGAACAGAATCATGTGCTTTAAGAGGACATTATAACATATTGGGAACATGGTGAACCATGGCTGGCATAGATTCGCACAACATTTGAAAATACAGGGTAAATATGGGAAACGCTGCCGGCTGGCTGCCAGCCGTGTGAAGGCCCCTTTGGAACTCTTCCTCATCTTGCTTTGGAGAGCTACCCAGAAAAGTTCAGAAACTGTGGTGCTAATTAGATTCCAAATTAATAGGAATAA